ATTTATTTTAAATTTATAACCTCGATTAAGATAATGCTGTTGCATATTGCCACTTTTCACGTTTAAAAGAATAAAAAGAAATCATTTCAACGAGAAGAAATTTAATAATTATAAGTAAAATATTTACGTCATTATTATTTAAGATTTTTAATTATAATAGAACTTTTTACAAGTAATTTTTATTTTATATATAATTATATATATATATATATATATATACATAGATTATGATTATTTTTTACATTCTTAATATTTATAGTATGTGAAGGAATTTTAGAATTATTATTGTTAATTGGTATAAATTATGAATTTGGTCATCAAAGAATAAAATTTTTAAATTTAATGTTTCAAATTTTTTACGACAGAATTAATTTATTTAATAATAATAATTTATTTATTTGATTTTATTATTTTAAGAAATTTAATTTATTTAATTATAATTTCTTTCTTTTTTAACTTTAATATATTAAATTGAAGAATAATTTTTTTAAATTTTAGTTTAAATTATTATTCCAATGAAAATATTACGAAACATTATCCTACATTGAGAACACTCACCACCCCCTATATTGACGATCATATTGGTGTTTCCAATGTGAGGAGATCGCATGTTTTTATTAATTTAACAATATGAATTGTAGAAACGCGATTGACAATGAATGAAAATCGCTCACGATATCTAACATATCTAGCAAATCTAGCATTTTTCCATTTACACCGAATCTACGAGCTTATTAAATATAAACTTCCCCCTGTCAGAGAATACACACTTACAACCCGTAAGTTTGTCGAAAATGAATAATAAAGCTGTGAAAGTCGCGCCAGTTTTGAAAATCTGGCACAAAACCACACCAATACAAAACGATTGCGATCTCAATCCAATCAGCTCGATTCATTTATTTATTTTTTTCTTTTGGGAAACATTGATTCACGCTACACTTGAAATTCAAACGGCGCTCGTTCCGAACGACGTTCCCTCTCCTTATTCCCAGCTGTCGATACCGGCGGTTAACGGCGAGATATATTCCGTACAAGGTATTCCGGAACCTGGATCCTGGCCGTGTGTTTCGCATCGCGGCGAGGCCGTTTTATTGATCCCGGGGCCAGTGACGGCGCGTGACGACGCCACGACGAATTCGTCGCCGACCGATTCGATCGGCTCGTTCTCTCTCGTCTCCCTCCCCCCTCCCCCGCGGAAACGAGAAAAATCGTCCCCCCCCTCAAGCGGCGAACCGGCCGCGATCCGAATTGCGTCGCGATTCAACCCCGCGACGGAACGTGATTATGCGAAATTTAATTACAATCTGCAGATACGCTCGCTGTACGCCACGGCGTTGACACGTAGCGGTGGTTCGCTGTTGGCAACGCTCGTCTGATAATTCGCCGCGATTACTTCCCCCCCCCTCTTCTCCCCCCCCCAAGCAACAACCTTGGTTCCCGATAAGGCCGATTTTCGCGCTGCGTGCCCCCTCCTCCCCCCGTTGTTTATACAACGATTTTACAGCCGCATCGTTTCGATGCTCGGTTTTCAAGCTTGCTTTCTCTCTCTCTCTCTCTCTCTCTCTCTCTCTCTCTCTCTATTCTCGCTTGGATTTTCCAGGATTATCGGTAACTGGCGGGGATGACTGATGGCCGGAGGAATTATCGTTAGAACTTGGGATATTCCCGTTTTGGGATCAGGGGAGAGTCGTATCGCTGGTTATCTGCGTTGTTGATGGAAAAACAAATTAGTACTATCGTCGTTCTTTCCTTTTTTTTTTTTTTTTTAANTACTTAATGTATTTAATACAAAGTGTATCAACATAAATGACCCAGTTTCTGCGATTTACTTTGTACATTACGTGTCGAACCTAAGTCATTTTCTACTTGTGCTTGTCCTGCAGTATCAGACGAGTATAGAAACCTTTTTTTCACAATTAAAATTCTTAGGTTTCTTTGCTCCTTCGTTTGCATATGGAAAGATGTCCGAGGTTAAAGAGAAAAAGGGGAAAAATGAACAACGGCTTTGAAATTGCTGCTCGAAGAAGAAAATGACTATGAGACAGGTCGCTGAAACTTCCCACGTTCAGAGGAAACGAGAAATGTCGATTATTTTGCTTTCCTGACGTCTGCAAGCGCATAATTAAGAAAGATTCAAATGCCTTTTTATCAACGTTATTAATTGTGTAGACACTGAAATTTATTATTTACTTAAATATATTGGACGACAATTTTTTATACATTTTGCTACAATTGCTACGGTTTCATTTGTGCTATGAAATCCTTATAAAATAAAGTTTAAGGAAAATGGTTTGTAAGTCTCTTATTAAACGCCATTTCTACTTTTACAAATTACTTCTTTTAAAGTTTGATTTTCATCAAGAATCTGTCACTTTATAATAGAAAAACTTAATATCCGAATAGAGGAGAAGCAGCTAACTGGCGGCCCTTGCTCTTGTTGGCTCTATCCCCTCCACTGCATCGACGATCCCCACTCTCTCATCCACGGCGAGGAAATTTCAAGTGGAGAGATTTAACATACCCCATACTTTTATATATATTTTATTACTAATACTTCTGTACTAATACTTTTTTTTTTTAACTTGGAATTTTACTCGATTACGACGAATTTCGTTCGATTTATGATGAAAGAAGTATACGGTCCAATCGAAAATAATAAATTTCAAAGCCCCTCAACAGGCGCAAAATCGATATACCGTATTTTGCTTCGCTTAAAACCACACAACTTTTGTGTGAAACATTTGTTCATTGAACGCATGATTTAAAAGTTATTTCAGGTGTGCAAGTTACGTGATTCACCCTGTACAGCGCCGTTACAAGTACATCTATTATGGGAATCTCGATAATCGAACGCTTTCTTCCCGGGCTTCCTGTCAGCGATCGCCCCGTGGCTGGCAGTAACAACAGCAAATTGTCTCGATCCGCCGTTCCACGAGGATTTCGTACTTGGATTGTCTCTGTAGTTGGTGTTCCTTGCAGCTTTAGAGAATATTGAAATCGACGTTTGAAAATACCCGAGACACGGGAGTTGGCGTTCATCTCGCGGTTCTCTTGGCAATATCTGAGAATTTAGAAAACTTTATTTCTATTCTCCTCTTCGTCTGAGAGGCTTCGTTCCCGAGACGATTGAGAACGAGAATTTATACACTTGTTTAACCGATTCCACGGACGACAGAAGGTCGAATTTCTTTTGTACGAGTATGTCCCTGTTCTCGAGAGAGCTTAAAAATTTATCAAGTACAAAATTTCCAAATTCGAGTATACTCGATCAATTTTCCAGCTCAATTTTCTTAAAAAATGGGGCTTTAAATGGAAAAATTTATTTTCCTCTGTTACACTTTCCGCGTGCTGCAAAACACTCTGCATTGTGTTTTACATCTTGAAATATTAAAGTCGGAGTTACCGGCGATTAAATTTTGATAAATTTTCCATTAGAGACACTGAAATAAAAGAAACAGGAAAACAAAAAAGCTACAGAATGGACAGATAAAAAAAAAAAAGATTATTTAAAACTTCGAAAATGCACACATCTACTTTACGTCTATGAAATTCCTAACGAGAAACAGTAAACTGATGGTTTTGACCAAACTGCAAACGAGTCGTTGACGATTTTAGACGAATTTAGAACGAGTTAATAGAAACAAAAGAAAGACACTACAAACGTAGAATTCCATATTCGAAATCTGTTAGATTTCTCCAGACAAAGGAGACGTTGCCTCTTTCCATTCGCGGTCTTCGAGATCTCTTTTCCCTTGGGTTTCGTTCCCTTTTCTTTTACCTTCCTTGTACTATTACCACGTCTAAATCCCTGTAATTCCCTTCCTTCCGCATTCTATTCTCTCACACAGACACCCTTTGTTCGCCCAGGATTATTTCCTTCCTGCGTGTCCTTTCGTTCTGGATTCCTCTCCACCTTATCTAGCGGCTCGACGCCACTATTTTCTTTACCATATTCTTCGCTCTGTAGCGTGTTCTTGTTTCTCTCATTGCTGTTGCTGCGTTATCGCGTTCCCTTCTTTCGGATTATACGATTCTCGTCCTGTTTTCTTGTCACTCTTTCTTTCTTCTTTCACTTTCGCTTGCTTGTACATACAAGGGATGATCCAAGGCTAAAAAATGCTAACTGGCGGCCCTTGCCCCTACTCTTCTGACTGAGAGAGTGGGGCTCATCGATGCAGTGGAGGGGATAGCGCTAGCTCAACTCCGAAGAGTGGGGGTAAGCCGCCAGTTAGCCGGCTCTGTTTTAACATTTTCGATTCGAAACAAGAGTCGAGTAGAAGCCATCAGACTTGGGCAACGTCAATCATAGTTATTCATTTCTCGTATTTCATTTCTCCTTCGACTCCAACAGATATATATATATATATATATATATATATATATATATATATATATATATATATATATATATATGCAGAGGTTTTAAGAACGAAGTTTGAAATACAACCAAAAGATGGTGAAAAAACGATTTGTATATTGGCTGATGTGATGGTAATCTTTCGGAATTGTACACGTGCTATCAGCTTGATATCACCCAAAGGATTTCACATAAACTAACTTCGCCGATATTAATGGCTCATTCGTCAGTATTCGCAATTATTATATTATTAAAAGCCAGTCCAGTTGTTTCTCAGATACTTACGCCCCCAAGTTCGACTCTTTGTTCGCTCGACCAGAGACATCGATCGATCCTACAACAAGCGCCGTATCTTCACAATTATTTCAACATACGTACCTACGTACGTATGTTCTTCCTTTGAGAGGAAAAAAAAAAAAAAANCGTACGTATGTTTTTCCTTTGAGAGGAAAAAAAAAAAAAAAAAAAGAGGAAAAATGCATAAACATCCGTAGCCGACCGATAAGCGAACGGGTACGTATCACGATCGTGGTACAAGGGGAGGGGAGGGGATCGACGCTACAAATTTCCTCCCTCTCTCCCTCTGTCACTCGCGCGCCATCCCCACTCCAACCCTAACCGCGGCAGCGTTCGTCCCTGTCTGACGCGGCTCGGGCATCTCCGTCGCTCGGCCACGCTCATTCAAGCTGGACGCGTTCCGAGCCGACTTGGCTCGATTCAGTCGCGGCCGACCCGCCACTCTGCAAGCTCTCGTCCATCGCGCGCGCGTGTCTTCGTGCTTCCTCCTTTAGACGCTTCTTCTCTCTTCGCTTCTCCTCGGCCTCCCTCTCCTCTTCGTTCGACACCCCCACCCCCTTCTCGATCATCAACCGAACGAGTCCCCCCGAGTTTCACCCGCCGAAGAACCCACCCCGACGAAGAAGCGAAAAGATCGGTGAGTCAGTTTCGCCCGCCTGAGCGAAGAGGAGGATCGTCTTTGCTCGAGCGAGCGAGCGAGCCTCGTGGAGAAGGGAGAAAAGTGGAACAGGTGTCTGGCTGGTGGGACATCTCGGTAGGGTGAAACACATCTGTTTTTCCGTGTCTCGTCGAGAGCCCGCCGGTGCAACGAGGTCTCGCAGGAACGGCTCCTCTCCTCGGACCGCGGTGAGATGAGACGTCCAGTGTACACGGTGATTGCGGTGGTGTTCGAACGGCGCCGCGACAAACAGCCAGTCGCGAACGGTGATATTTTGTGAACCGGGGGCAACCGGGGGGAACCGGCCACGCGTGACAGTGTGTGACAGTGCGCTGTGGAAACGAAAAGTGTAGAAACGAGGGATTCTCGCGCCGTTCTCTGCTCGCTGCTCTCGCTGTCTCAGAAAAGTAAGTGATGATCCGAGCCGGGCAACGTTTTTCTCGCGTTTACGCTTTTTCGTCTTTACGGGTTTCGTTTACGGATTGGAAATCTCGCTGGAAAACGAGGAAATTGCTAACTGCCCGCATTTATTTTGCCGAGCGATTACTGTCGATGAAAGTGACTGATACGTTCGATTATCTGTTACATCAAATCCGACATTAGGAAGTTTATCGCGATGATATTTTTCGATTTCTACGAGCTAAGAAAGAATGAAGTGTTGAAAGATAGAATTCGAGAGGAATTGCGATCAGACATAAGTTCTTGATGAAACGAAAAATAATTAATAATAATAATTCAACGTTTTATTGTAACTTGGCAACATTTTCTGGAATGTTAGAAAATTTAGCAACAGGATTTATGATTAAACAACATTTCTGTTCTAGGTTAGGTTTAAAGATAATTAACTCTCGTTCATGTTTGCACGAACACGATTTTCTGCTTCTTCTTTTTTTTTTTTTTGTTTCTTTCTTCCGTTGATTCCGAGGATTTCGAAATTCCCAAACGACCTGACTCGAGCATCAGAAACAATTTCCGCGGATTTACCGGAATGTGGTCGAAACACAGAGAGGAAAGTGATACGTGGTAAGTTTAATTGAGGTGCTTAGAGGAAAGACGATACGAACGATCGAATGTTGGACGAAACAAATTGTGAATAAAGTTCAACCTTAATTGGAACATCTCTACGCTTTCGTACGTGAATACGTACTTGTGTGAATGTTTGGGAATTTCATGCAGACTGTACCGAATCTCTCTCGTTTCAGAAGCCAATTTGCAAAAGAATGTGAAGGATTTCTAATTACCAAACGTAAAAATTAAAGATAAAACCTGAGCTAAGCAATCGAGTTGTCAAAAACAATCTCTTGTCGAACGCTGTGTGGATTTTTGAAAGTTCGGTCTCGCGTAGTATTTCCTTTAAAAGCCAATTAGTTGAAGGAAATGAATGATTTCCAATTATATCGAACGATTAAATTAAAAATAATTAATTAACTAGACGTTTAGACGACGATAATTAACTTGGACGATTAAATTAAAAATAATTAATTGTAGAAAATTAAAGATAAAAATCTTGTCAAATATGAGTTATTAAAAACTCGCTATAATATCTCATATTTCTTCTAAAAGCTGAAAGAAAAAAATTGTCAATTGCCACAAACGATAAAATTAAAGATGAAAATTTACTAAATAACCGAGTCATCGAACGCTGCATAGATTTAGACTCGTGTATAGTGTACTTCTTCCAAAAATTCGTTTTGAAACAAAATTAACGGGTAACAGAGTTACATAAAAAAAAAATCCTTTGTCAAACGTTACGAACACGCTTTAGCTACGACTCTTCGAGGATTTAGATTCGCGTACTCTGTTTATTATGTCGAGGTTGTTGATACCTGTGTAATTAGACTGTGTAACGATGGATTTCTACGAATTAATTACGCCTCGTTCAGAGCTGCGATCACCATTTGCAAAATGGATACTTATTGGCTTCCGAGTTGTGTATCGCGAGTCTGGAACGAATTTCTGTGATTTATTGTCTTCGAGATTCGAAGAATACAAACGCTGTAATTAGGACACACGCACGCAATGTGACGTTTGTCGCGGATAAAGTATATTATTATCATTTCGATCATTTTTACATCGAGCATTCGCTTTCGCAACTTGCCACTATATTTCTGTGATTGTCAAGATTAAAATTTTGTTTAACTCTCGAATAATATAAAGTTTTGCACAGTCTCAAAACACGATCGTCTACGTATGAAAATTCTTTCCGACATTTATTCCGAACGACATTGAGCGACTAACGATGAGAATGATCGGGGAGCCTAAACACAGGCACCGCGAAATACGAAAATTTAAACGAGACGTTCGCAGCGTCTGTGATTTTCCAGTTTCTATTGTGAATATGTTGTGTACGTGTGTACGCATTGTCGAGATACGCGTAGCTACTGCCTCTCGCCAGTTAAATTTCTCCTCATTTGGCCACGGCTGTGTTCAAAGTTGCGACTCGCAAGGTCGGTTCGAACTCGTACGCTTCTGGATTATTTACTTTGAAACTTGTTCCTCTGAAATCCGCTGCCTCCCGCTATCCCACCCGTTGTCACGCACAACGTTCGTCCGAATTTTCCAAGTTCTACCACGTTCACGTCGCTCTCTGCTCAAATTATCGTGTACACGTTGTCGACTGTTTAAATTTCGAAGTTTCAGCTACCTTTTTTCCAAGAAAAGCACTCTCGTTATCATAATATATGTATGTATATATATATATATACAAAACTATACAATATAAGACTTTAGAAGACTTTGGGAGACGTCTAAATTTTTACGTTTTATATATATATATATATTTTTCCAAGAAAAGTCTCGTTATCATATTATATAATATATATATATATATATAACTATACAATACAAAACTTTGGAAGACGTCTAAATTTTTACGTTTCATAATTTTATAATTTTAAAATTTTACGTTATATATATATATAATATTTTTCCAAGAAAAGTAAAGATACTCTCGTTATCATATTACATAATATATATATAACTATACAATATAAGACTTTAGAAGACTTTGGAAGACGTCTAAATTTTTACGTTTCATAATTTTATAATTTTATAATTTTAAAATTTTACGTTTTATATATATATATATAATTATATGTTGTAATTATATACATATATATAATATACATATAAAATTATAAAATTAAAAAATTCAGACGTCTCCCGAAGTCTTCCAGAGTCGCTGAAAAATATTTCTTGCGCCCAAGGATCGAACTCTCCTCTTCACATCGACCCGAATCGAATCTTGACGTACGATTTTTGTCTCGAACCTTGAACGTCAGAGTTATAAATAATTCTAACATTCGGTTCACCAACCGGCATTTGTTTCAAATTACCTAAATTAACGTACGACGGTGAAATTTAATGCTTTCTACTAATTTGTTATTAAATTTATTTTTTCACAATTTTTCAAACGATAACACCGACAAACGAGCTTCACGGGAAATTTGTATTGTCATCTCCGCCGGCACGAGTTCAAAGAGTTAATTATCGCGTTAAAGTGCCGGTGATGAACTCCGAATTGATCGATCGACACCGATCACCGGAATCATGTATGCACACACGCGTTTGTCAATCTTTTGATCAATCTCACATACTGCAGTGAAAATTATTAGTGCATCAGTCATTGAAAAAGAACAAAAAAAAAAAAAAAAAAAAAAAAAAAAAAAAAATACAAATCGTGTCGAATGTTTTCTTTTCGGAAAACTACGTTTAAGCCAAATTTCATCAAAATCAGTTGGGAGAGGAACCGGAAACACTAGGCCCATTGAATCGGTTTTCCAACAACCGAGTATGCTCGACAGAGATATCGGAAGCATCAATAGCTGAATTATCATTGTCTCTTGTAAAAAACAAAAAAGACAAAAAAAAAAAAAAATAGAAAAGAAAGTTCGTCGACACAAACTTGCGAAGAGAGTTCCTTTCAACTCTGTCGGCACAAAGGCACAATTAATCGGGGAAAGAAAGAGGAACGAGTTCGATTTTCGAAGGTAGCTCGAGCAATTTCACCGGAATCACGGTATCTCGCTAACGGCCCCGACGACTTTAAGCAAATCGATTCAACTCGTTGATGCAGTTAGAAGGAATACGCGCGTCTCGAGAGCGGAGGGTCCACCCACCTAGGAGAATTGAAACTCGATCAATTCCGGTTCCGTTTCAACGCGAGAACGCTGAGCTGAACGATTCGCCCGTAGAAAATAATCGATTCCCCTTCGGAGGAAAAGAAATTACAACGTCGACGATATTTCGAACTGCAATCAGTTCCCGACGACTGCGAGTCTATCGAGACCCGTTTCACTTTCGCTCATTGTTTGGAAATTCAAAACCGTGAAAAAGTATCCGCCAGTGACGCTTTTGTCGCGAATATTTCATATCAAGAGAAGGAATAGAAAAAAAATGAAAAAGAAAAAAAACGCTGCGTGTAAACCACGCGATTTGTTTAATTGCCGATTCTTTGTCACGTTTAATTACATATTTCGCTATCCATTCATTTCGTCGTGTTTCCAGTGGAGAAGCGAGACATTATACCGTACGACGACTCAAGTTTCCCGCGGATTTTATGGAATCCTGCGCACGTTGATTTTATGGAATCAAAATATTAGCAAGTTACATCGTTGACCATTGATAAATGCAATTTTCAACGAGCAAAATAAATCGGGCGAGCTCTGTCGACCGATTTTCAATAGCCACTGGGGGATTCCTGATTCTATAATAATTCATACCGGCGGACGACGGATGAAGCATCGCCGCGGGAAAAAAGAGAAAAAAAAAATCGATATTAATAAACGCGATTTTCAGAGAACAGCGGCATCACCGCCCGGCTGATTCGTCGATAAACATCGACATCGACGGTGAGAGATCGGTAGATCAGCAAATAAAATAAAAGCGATTTTATAAATACCCGTATAAATTTCGTGTTTTCCACGTACTTTTTTTCCTTCCCCCCGTTTCGTTTCCTCTCCGATATCCCCCCCGTAAATAAAAAATCAATCCGATAACGTATCATTCGGAGTCGCGTTCCGCTGCCACGAAACGGAAATACACAACGAATCGAATTGTTCGCCGTTCTAAATGAGCCGCACGAGATTTATTTTCGAATAAATTTGGGGGAGCCGTGTGAAATTTCGTTCGAGGCAATCCGGCGGCGTTTTCCCAGGACTTCGTTCGCTCGTTTCTCGCTCGGCCAGTGAGATTTCAGAAACGGTCGTTCGAAAATTCGAACGATGAATTATTAAAAGATCACTGAAACACGCAGACACGCCATTATGTCATTGCACATATATTTACGTACGTCGTGCTCAAGCCTCGAGCGACCGCGTTCAATGAGAAAGGAGTTCGTTTGTTTCTATTATTTGCCCGAGCCTCCGGCTGTCGAAACAGCTCGGAGAGTTATTATGTGTGTTTGATG